TGTCCTGCCCCAACAGATCTCCCTGGAGCACGAGATCCTGCTGCACCCGCGCTACTTCGGGCCCAACCTGCTCAACACGGTGAAGCAGAAGCTCTTCACCGAGGTGGAGGGCACCTGCACGGGCAAGTGAGTGGGGGGCCAGGCCGGGCTGGGTTGGGGGAGAACAGGGAGCTGGGACATGTGGATGGAGGGGGTCCCAGCATGATCTAATGCCCTAACGAGACTGGTGCCCCCATCCTGCTGCACCCGCGCTACTTCGGGCCCAACCTGCTCAACACGGTGAAGCAGAAGCTCTTCACCGAGGTGGAGGGCACCTGCACGGGCAAGTGAGTGGGGGGCCAGGCCGGGCTGGGTTGGGGGAGAACAGGGAGCTGGGACATGTGGATGGAGGGGGTCCCAGCATGATCTAATGCCCTAACGAGACTGGTGCCCCCCCCCGCCCCGTTCCCTCCCTGGCAGGTACGGCTTCGTCATCGCCGTCACCACCATCGACAACATCGGGGCAGGTGTCATCCAGCCGGGCCGTGGCTTCGTGCTCTACCCCGTCAAGTACAAGGCCATCGTCTTCCGGCCCTTTAAAGGCGAGGTGGTGGATGCAGTGGTGACCCAGGTCAACAAGGTGAGGGGCGGCGGGGCACAGGAAAGCCTCTGGTGTAAGCCCTGGTGCGGAGGAGGGCTGCAGCCCTGCACCATCTGTCTCGGGATGCGGGGGGCCGTGGAAGCTGCTGGAAGCTGGGGCGTGCTGCCTCTGTCCCCCAGGACTAGAGTGACCAGATGTCCCATTTTTGGCTGGGACAGTGCCAGATTCTGCAGGCTGGTCCTGGCTGGCTGGGCAGAAGTCCTGAGCGGCGAGGCCGAGCAGCATGGTGCGCCGGGTGGGCGGGTGGACACCTGCTGCAGTGCAGGAGCAAGGCGGGCGGATGTACGGCCACCCTAAGATACCACATCCAAGACCCCTACGTTCCTTGCTCCTGCATTGCCCAAACCCAGGACTGTCACCGTGGCCCTCACAGCTTCGCTGCCTCCTCTTCCCGCAGGTCGGGCTCTTCACTGAGATCGGGCCCATGTCTTGCTTCATCTCCCGCCACGTAAGCACTGCCTGGGGAGGGGGCTGGGGGCTGCCTCTGGTCTGGGAGGCTCAGGTGAGACCTGGGAGCCCACCACAGCTGACTGTCCTTCTCTCCCTAGTCTATCCCCTCTGAGATGGAGTTTGACCCCAATTCCAACCCCCCCTGCTATAAAACGGTGGACGAGGTGAGCTGGGGCTGACGGTGCTCCCTGGGGGCACCTGGCAGCATTGGGGGGCACTGGGGAGGCTGGGGTAGAAACTCAGGTAGGGGCTAGGGGGTGCCCCAGGGTATGGCAAGGGGCAGGAGAGTGGCTGTTTTCCAGTACGTGAGATTCCTTGGGACAAGGAAGGCCGGGGCGGGGCGTGTCATGTCTGCTTTAGGCTCTGTTACTGTCCTGTTGAGTGGCCTTGGCCCTGTCACTTTTCCCTCGCATGTGCCTCACTTTATTCATCTGTAAAACCATCCAGCCTCCTTCAAAAAACTTCTGAAAGCAGAAAAGAGAGGGACAAGCTGGTTGCAAATGGCGTCTTAGTGACGAGAGGCGTTCATGTCATTGAAGACCTTCTCCCCTGTGGAGGAGATGGCAGGGGCTGCCGTGGTGTGGGGGGAGGGGGAAGCAGGGTGCAGAAATGAGTCTCACCTGGGCTCCACATGTCTGCAGGACATCGTGATCCAGCAGGACGACGAGATCCGGCTGAAAATCGTGGGAACCCGAGTGGATAAGAACGACATCGTGAGTCCTGCCTGCCTCTCTGTGGGGCTGGAGCTGGGTTCCCAGTTACCCCATTCCTAGCAGAGGGGCTGTGGGCCTGGAGCAGCTGGGTGGGAAGGAGTGTGGGGCTGTCCCAGTGCCAGCGGGGTGGGAGCATGGGGGCTCCAGTCCCAGGCTGCGGGAGGGGGCGGGGGGCATACGCGGTGCTCACACCTGTGTCCTGCTTTGCAGTTTGCCATCGGCTCCCTCATGGACGACTATCTGGGTGAGTCTCGTCTCTGGCTCCATCCCTCCGTGCCTGCCCCTATCCCTGCGTACCTGCACAGACCGATGCTCCTGACAGTCGGTGCCCGCGGGTCGGGCTCTGCTGGTGGGGGCTCCTGGGTGATGGTGCTCCAGGGTCTCCTACATCCACCCTTCTCTCTCCATGTTTCCTTCAGGTCTCGTGAGCTGATGCACAAGCCCGTTCCTCTGGTTGTGTCCCTGGGCTCCAGCTGGGATGAGCCTTGTCTCTGCCCCCCTGCACTGCTTGCCCTATTTATGGGGGTCTGGCGTGGGCCTGGCCAGGCCTGGGGGCCGGGTCCACACCTGCCTGTTCTTCCTCCCAATAAAAGCTGCTTTTCATACACCGCTGTGGCGTGTCTGCTGTTCCCTGCTCCCTGCAGTGACCTGAAGCTGCTTCGCGGGGGTGGGAGGGTGCAGGGGGGCAGAGGGGGGCTGCCTGGGGCTGGGCTGTGCTGAAACACTCTGCTGTGCTAGGTGCTGTACGTGCCCCACAGAGCTCACAGACACAGGGTGGGAGTTGGGGGAGGGCTGCAGTAGGATGGAGGGGTGTTGGGGCATGAGCCCGGGATAAGGGGGTGCAGTGACCCTGCAACCCTGGCCAGCCCCATTGGGACCCTAGGGCGGTCTGGGGGGACTGGGACCTCCCTGAAAACAGCCCCCCAGCTGACAGCAGTGGGGGGGGGTGGGGTTTGGGGGATGTGGATGCAGGTGTGGGGGCGGGAGCCCTGGGAACAGCACGTGGGACCAGCTGCAGGACCAGCCCGCGGGCGCCCCAGTGTGACAGAAGCGCGTTATTACCACTTGAAAGGCCTCACTGCACAGGCGCAGGCGCCTCCACGCCCCTCGGGAGACGCCCCTTCCGCTGCTGTGACGTCATATGCCGGCGCCGGCGACAGGAGACAGCTGTCGTGCTGCTGCGGCCGCGCGCTTTACGGCCCCGCCACCTCCTCCCCCGCGCGCTTTACGGCAGGCTCCCTTTCTCCGCTCGCGAAGATGGCGGTGGCCGGGGTGAGTG